GCAATAATTTCAGAAAGCAATTTAAAAAGAATCCATGCAGGCTGGGAAGCATCGGCATTGAAGTCCACACTTGTGGAAGACACCGGGTTAAAAAACTGCATTTAGGATGTCACAAGTGTGGAGTCCTTGGGGTTCTCTGAGCTTGGTTGTTTTCTTGCAGACGTTTTGTTGCCCGGCTAGGTAACATCTGCAGTGCTGGAAGGGAGTGGGGTTCACTGAAGATGTTACCTAGTTGGGTAATGAAATGTCTGGAAGAAAACCACCAAGCTCAGCGAGGGCCAAGGACTCCACTGTTCAACCCTGAGCTACAGATATTCTCTTCTATTGGTGTCCTAACTATTAGGACTGAAACCAATCTGGACAATTTCTTCAGTAAGCAGAATGGTTCATAAAATCTCATTTTATGGAAATTCTAGGAAGAGGCTGAGACCCCTCCCAGCACCCCGAGTTACCACAGCCCTGAACGTTTTGTCCCGGAATAAACTCCATTCGGCTTGAAGGAATGCCAGCAATTGCCCCGGATTAGAGAAGATTTTGAAAAAGTTCCTCTGGCACCGGACGTCCCCGGGCCACACAATCTGGGGTATTTGAGGGAGAGCTGTCCCCGCTTGCTGTTATCCGACCCCGAGGCCACTTTCACGCCTGAAACTTTTCCCTTCTCCGCGCGTTCTCCACCTCGGGCTGCGCAGATAAAAAGCCTCCCTTCGTTACTCATGCAGCAGCCCAGCGCCGGAGGCGGGATGGCGCAGAAGAGGCGACCCACCGGTGGAGTTGCGGGGCGCGCGCCTTGCCTACCCCGACCTCCGATTCCCACGCGCGCAAACGCACGAAGCAATGCCTGGATTCGACGGCAAACCCAACCCATCCCGCCCCCCCGCACAAGCGCGCGCCCGAGGCGCTCCTCGCCAGGCACCCCCTTGGCACCCTCCCGGCTCGCCTCTTACCTGCGCGGGTCATGCACCTCCACCGAAAACTTCTTCTCTCGGAAGTAGAGGTTCTCCAGCTGGCGCCATTGGAAGATCTGCAGCGGGGGGGAAAAGAAGCGGGCTAAGAGGCAACTTC